CAGTGTCACTGGCCCTCATATGTGGGATCCGAACCGGGGCCCTCTGGCATCCCAAGCGAGTTCTTAACCATCGCGCCACTCGGCCGGCCCAGAGCTCAAACTCTTGAGCGAGCTCTTACCCAACTGAGCCACTAGGCCGGCCCTGGTCTGGTACTCTTCACTTTCTAAATCTGGAACTTGGTTACATGCAAGGAAGGCTGGGGAAATGTGGTCTTGCTGTGGACTAGCTAGGATCGTAATACTCCCATCATTTTACTGATGAGGACACAGCTCAGAGTGGTTAAGTGACCAGCTCAATATCACACAGCTAGTAGGCAGCAGATCTGAGAATTGAACCAGGTTGTGTAATCCTGTGATACTCTATCCCACTGTATGCCTTGGCCACACATTCACCTCCTGCCTCGCCCCCTAGGAATGACCCTCTCCTTAAATATCTCCCCAGATTCACTTCCTGAAGCAAGGCTGTGGTGAAGATAAGATCTGCCAGAGCAATCTGCAGCTTGTCCATGCCCGCTTCTGTGCCCGGGTCAGCGACACGGAGTTCCAGCCTCTGCCCATGTGAGGGGGAGTGAGGGAGCAGGTGGGGTGGGCAGGCAAGAGTTCAAGGAATGTAAGGAAGTCCCCTCAGGAAGGCCAGGCAGAGGGAGGGGCTGAGCCTGCAGAAGGAGGGTGGAAGGCTGGGGAGGACCTGCTGATAGCTCAGAAGACTACAGGATGAGGGTCAGTGACAGAACCACAGGGCTCTCCTGGTGAGGAATAACAACCTTTCACAATACATGTAATAATATCCAGTTTACATACATCTCACTGTTTAGTCTTTGCAACCCCATGTTGTAAGAATTATTGTTAGTCTCACTTCATAGATGGAGAACAGAGGCCTAGAGAGGTTAAGTTACTTGCCCAGGGTGAGTCAGTGGTGGTGCTGGGACCAGAATGAAGGTCCCCTGATTCCTTGAGAGCATGGGAAGACCTGAAGCTTGGTTTGGTAGGAGCAGAGCCTCAGGGAGTTCAGGCCTGCTGCATGCACGGCGGGGAAGGGGCAGGACTGGGAGAGGCAGGGGGTGTTCAGATCTTAGAATGAGTGGGATCTGACTTTCCAGGGATACAGATGGGACAACAGCCCTGTTTGCACTGAGTGGGCAGCCAGTCATTGGCTTGGAGCTGACGGTTACCAATCTGCCCTCGGACCCAGCCCAGCCCCAGGCTGATGGGGACGATGCCCATGAAGCCCAGCTCCTGGTCAGCCTCCCTGACTCACTGCACTACTCAGGAGTCCGGGCCCTGGACCCTATGGTGAGAACACGGGTGGGGTTGGTGGAGTCTTGGGGGGCTCCAGTAATCCAAACTGACCTCTCCTCTCTCCCCACTCCAGGAGAAGCCACTGTGCCTGTCCAATGAGAATGCCTCCCATGTTGAGTGTGAGCTGGGGAACCCCATGAAGAGAGATGCCCAGGTTGGCACTCTACCCTTATCCCTATCTGAGTGACCTCTAACCCCTGACCCCTCAAGCCCCTGGCCTCCCCGACTCTAATCCCATTCCATCCTTGGCCTAGATCACCTTCTACCTCATCCTTAGCACCTCAGGGATCACCATTGAGACCACAGAACTAGAGGTGAAGCTGCTGTTGGCCACGTAAGCCTGGTGGGGCTAGGGTGGGGTGAGGTTGGGGGCAGTGGAATTGATGTCCACCTGGAAGGGGCTCCCCTGACCACTTGAGGTGGTGCCTGTACCTGCTGCTCATGCCTGCACCTGACCACACGCCAGGATCAGCGAACAGGAGCTGCATCCGGTCTCTGCCCGGGCCCGTGTCTTCATTGAGCTGCCGCTGTCCATCACAGGGTAAGCCCTGCCCCAGTGGGCACCTGTACTGGAGGGGTGGGCATTGTCACTCCCAAACCCTGGCCTGGGCTCTGCCTCCTGACCCTCCATCAGGTCCCAGAACTCCTCAATCCCTGTTTTGACCCCTCCTCTCCAGGGTGGCCATTCCCCAGCAGCTCTTCTTCTCTGGTGTGGTGCGGGGAGAGAGAGCCATGCAGTCCGAGAAGCAAGTTGGCAGCAAGGTCAAGTATGAGGTCACGGTAAGTGTCCTGGTATGTGGTTCCTTGTGGTCCCCCTCCCTTCTTGGCACAGAGGAGAAGCTAAGATATGTCCCAAGGGTTGGGGGTCTTCTAATGTATGGCAGCAGGTAGGTCCAGCGAGTTCGAGGCTTCCCGTTGCTCATGGACCTCGGCTGTGGGCAGGTGTTTGTGTGGGGTCCTCGACTGACTATGTCCTGGTCATCCCTGACTGGACATCTCACCTGCTGGTCTGGGGAGGCCATGAGAATCCAAGGAAGCTTCTCTGCGGGGGAGCCTTAGCTGGGGGATGGGGACATTGAGGGGGGCTGATGTCTCTCCCCAGAACTCTGGCCTGGCTTTGCTGGGGCCTCTGCACATCTCCCAGTAACATCTCCAGGTTTTCCTGGGTTTGGGGTGAGCGGAGAATGATGCCTGGTAAGGTCTAGGATCCTGAGTCTTTGTTGAAACTGTGCTTCCTGAGGCCCTCCCCTCCACCTTTATCCCTTCCGTCTCTGTGGATTTAGGGCCCCCTCAGAAACCGAGCTGCCTCCCTTCACACTCCCTGTGCCCACAGGTCTCCAACCAGGGCCAGTCGCTCAACACCCTGGGCTCTGCCTTCCTCAACATCATGTGGCCTCACGAGATTGCCAACGGGAAGTGGTTGCTGTACCCCATGCGGGTGGAACTGGAGGGCGGGCAGGGGCCTGGGCGAAAGGGGCTCTGTTCTCCCAGGCCCAACATCCTCCACCTGGTGAGGCTTAGGCAGGGTGGGTGGGGGCCACTGAAGCAGGGTTGGGGGAGTAGACTTTGAGAAGGCTGTCATGGGGCTGGGCATGTGTAGATGGGTAGGGGGCTAGGAGGTAGGCAGTGAGGAGGAGATGCCATCTCAGGACTGTTGCGCTTGGAGGCACACTCACGGGGCCCCCCTCACAACATCCAGCATGTGGACAGCAAGGACAGGAGGCGGCGGGAGCTGGAGCGGCCTGAGAAGCAGGAACCTCAGGAGCAGCCAAAGCCCAGCACGTCCTGGTGGCCAGTGTCCTCTGCTGAGAAGAAGAAAAACATCACCCTGGTGAGGGCAGGGCAAACATGGTGCATCCAGAATGGGGTGTGTGCGGTGGTGTGACAGAGGATGCTGGGGCATGNGGGGCCAGGGAATGGGTAGGAAAGGCCAGATCAGGAACAGGTGCTGGGAACAGGCGGTTCTTTCAAACTAGCAGTGCTGGCCCGGCTGCTTGGGTCTGTGTGTGTGTGTGTGTGTGTGTGTGTGTGTGTGTGTGTGTGTGTGTCTGCTGTGCATGTGGTCCCTCACCCAGAGAGTATGTGCATATGTAATGTGATGATTGCATGGCCAATGGTATTAACCTTGCCAGGACTTAAGAAACTGACTTTTGGCCTTTCTCCTTAGTTCTTCAACATTCTGCTTGGTACTGAGGGGTTGGGCCTGGGCAGTTCTGGGGAGGGGGAGCACTCTGGCCACTAACTCCTGTTCCTACCCAATTGTGCAGGCTGCTGGTGGGTGCTCCCCAGGCCCTGGCTTTGCCTGGGCAGCAGGCGAACCGCACAGGAGGCCTCTTCGCTTGCCCCCTGAGCCTGGAGGAGACTGATTGCTTCAGAGTGGACATCGACCGGGGAGGTGCGGGCCCTGTGGGGGTGGAGTGGGGGGGAACAAGGGGCGGGGGGAAAGAGAGGACTTGGCCTTCTCTTCCTTCCCCTAATTCCCAGTGTCCTGCCTCCAGCTGATGTGCAGAAGGAGAGCAAGGAGAACCAGTGGTTGGGAGTTAGTGTTCGGAGCCAGGGGCCCGGGGGCAAGGTTGTTGTGAGTATCACTTCTTGTGACTATATGCCAGGGTGGGGTGTCTGTGTGTGTGTGTGTGTGTGTGTGTGTATGGTGTGTACATATCACAGATGTGCTTACAGAACACTGGTTGGGCATACAGTATGATGGTCTATTTCCCAGGAACTCAGGGAGATATAAAAAAGTAAGATATGGACCCTGTCCTTATAAATTGAAACCATCTAACCATTCATCATCCATCTATCCATTTGTCAAACTCTTTTTTTTTTTTTAAAGATTTTGTTGGGGAATTGGGGGAGGGGAACAGCGTTGGGGAATCGGGGAAGGGGAACAGACAAGTTGCTGTCGTTTTGTTCTTCAGCCTAGTTGTGGAGGACGTTGTTTCACTGGCCCATGTTGGCATTATCATTGCGCTCTTTCCGGGTGAGGCAGTTGCTCACCGGCCATTGGACGGCCGCTCACGGCAGCACGTGAAAGCTCACGCCCGCTGCCGGCCAGCCCCACTGCAGCCTACGCCGTCACCAGCAACCCATGGCAGCCCAGCTCCAGGTCAAGCTGTTGTTCACCATCTTAGCCGTAGAGGGCAGCGTCACTGGCCCTCATGTGTGATCCGAACCGGGGCCCTGCTGCTCAGAGCTGGCGTCCCCAGCCAACTCCTAACCAACGTGCCATTTGGCCGGCCCCCATTTGTCAAACTCTTACTGAGAACCTTTTAAGCATCAGGCATTGTACCAGTTACTGAGAGAGAATATGTAAAGACAGGGAAAAGCCTGGCCCATGCCTCAAATAGCCTACTGCATAGTATGGAGATTCTCCTTTTCTCCTTTTCTGTATCTGTGTGTATCATCTGTATCATCACTAACATGCACAAACACACAAATTAATAATACAAGTCACTGTGTAGCAGACCATGGTTAATGTTAAGTGAGTGGTAGAGTCCCCAGTCCATCAAAGTCTAAAGGAGGAATGGAGAGAAAGGACTCCTGCAGGTGGAGTGATTTGAGCCATGCTTTCAAGAATAAGCGAAAAATGGAGAATGGAGAGGGGAAGTTCTTTGCAGACAAGGTGATGTCACTTACAAAGGGCCAGAGACAAGACCAAGCTTGGCATGTTGGGCATAGTCACCTATCGTGTGATCAGTGAGGCACAAGTCCTGTGTGGTGACTTAGTTGTGCCTGTGGAACAAGGAGTCCATCTTGCGAGGGCAAGGAAGTGGGTGCTGATGGGATACTGGGTTATGAATATACCTGCCTGATACTGGGCTAGTGGTGGTGCTCAAGTGATGCCAGCATAGGTGTGTGTGTGTGTGTGTGTGTGTGTGTGTGTGTGTGTTTGCACATGAACCAGTGTCTGCCATACGTGTGGGTAGCGTGGCTCAAGCAGGTCCCTGGCCCACCCAATGGAATGGTCCTTCATCCCTTCCTCTCACAGACCTGTGCACACCGCTATGAGGCGAGGCAGCGAGTGGACCAGATCCTGGAGACAAGGGATGTGATTGGTCGCTGCTTTGTGCTAAGCCAGGACCTGGCCATCCGTGATGAGTTGGATGGTGGGGAGTGGAAGTTCTGTGAGGGACGCCCCCAGGGCCATGAACAATTTGGGTTCTGCCAGCAGGGCGCAGCTGCTGCCTTCTCCCCCGACAGCCACTACCTCCTCTTTGGGGCCCCAGGAACCTATAACTGGAAGGGTGAGTCACTCCTCAGGGAGGGGAGAAGGGAACCAAACTGTCCTCTTACCTCAGAGCTGGGATTTCAGGCAGCACGTGGCCAAGCATGTTCACTGCCATGTAGCCCTGGAGCACTGCAGCACCTTCCACCCACGTCATGCCAGCACACACACATGAACGGAGGTATCTCCTCTCCTTCGCATGGCTGAGTGTTCCTCAACACGCTGGCATGAGCCCCCCACCCCGTCCCACATGGCTCATTCTCCCTACCAACACACCAGCCTATACCTCATCACTCCCATTCCCGTCTCCGCACGCTGCAGCTGGCTGAGCTGACACTCGGTGAGTGTGTGCCAAGTCTGTGGGACCCCAGAAGCTTGGGCTGGGGAGGGGGGTGGACATAGGGCTGGAAAGGCGAGGAGGGGCTTCCCTGTGTGCCTGTCTAACTAGCATCTGGCTTGAGGGATGCTTCTCACTCCCTGCCCTGGGCACTAACAGGTCTGTTCTTGCAGGCACCGCCAGGGTGGAGCTCTGTGCTCAGGGCTCAGCGGACCTGGCCCACCTGGACGACGGGCCCTACGAGGCGGGGGGTGAGAAGGAGCAGGACCCCCGCCTCATCCCGGTCCCTGCCAACAGCTACTTTGGTAGGGACCCTCCCGTCCCAGAGCCACTCTAACCCTTTGCCCCTCTCTCTTGTCCTCCCTCTCCGTGCTCCCACCCTCCTGTCTCTGTCTCTCTCTGTCTTTCTGTTTCTGAATTTTATCCCTCCGGCCTCTTTGTCTCTCTCATATTCTTTATCTACCTCTACCTCTTCTCCTTCTTGTCTTTGTGTCTGGCTCTGTCTCCCCACTCTGTGGCACCTCCTCTGGACGTCCCTTCCCTGGTGTCTCCCCCCTCTCCCTCCCCCCACCTCCCACAGGGTTGCTCTTTGTGACCAACATTGATAGCTCAGACCCTGACCAGCTGGTGTATAAAACTTTGGACCCCGCTGACCGGCTCCCAGGACCAGTCGGAGACTTGGCCCTGAATAGCTACTTAGGTTTGTAAGCGCCCACCCATGTCCTCCTGGGCCCTGGGGGCTTGGCCTGGCTCCCCCTCTTCTCCTGCCCCGCCTCCACGACACACACCCAGGGAAACACATGTTGGGCCCAAATTTCAGAGACAAGCTAGGTCCAGTGACAAGGCCCAAGAAGAGGCCCCAAGGGAGAGCGCTTAGAGGCTGTGAACAGGGGTCTCCATGGAGGGAGAACCAGATGGGTTCTTCCTCTGTCAAGGAAGGTGGCTAGACCTCTAGGGGGCCTTTCTCTCAGGGATGGATGGTGGGCAGATGCTGGAGGAAGTCCTAGCTGTGTTGGTAAGTCCCTCTCATTTTCTTATCTTCATCCCACTTCAGGGAAGGAGGAAATGAGGCCTGGGAGATCTTAGGGTGATTTAAGCTCTTCCCTACTCCATTTATCAGCTTTGTCTCCCCCCATCCACATGAAGACTTCCTCTCCTTGGCAGGATGGGAGTGGGGGCAAAGAGAGTGCACCGGATAAGACTGAAGCCTCCTGGTTGTGCTGAGGGGAGAGCAGTGCCCTGGGAATCCTGGGGATGGGGCGCTGCCCCAGATCCTGCCAGTGGGCCCATTCCTGTCCAGCATCTGGCCTTCTCGGCCATTGCCCGTCTCTTTTCTTCCCAGTCCCTGAGGCTGACTTCATTGCACTTCTTGTGCCACACTTCAGTCTTTGGGTGTTGGGGCACTGCCAGGCCTCTGGAGCGGGAGGAGGAGAAATCCAGTTGTGGTGGTGATAATTTGGAGGGTGCCTCCACCTTTTGGTTCTGGACCTGTGAGGTTCTGGACCTGTGAGGAGGGGGCAGTGACACACCCTGGCTCCTGAGTCTTGTGGGGAGTGTTCACTAGAAGGTCACCCCCCCCCCCAGGTTTCTCCATCGATTCCGGGAAGAGTCTGGTGCGTGCAGACGAGCTGAGCTTTGTGGCAGGGGCCCCCCGTGCCAACCACAAGGGCGCTGTGGTCATTCTGCGCAAAGATAGTGCCAGTCGCCTGGTGCCTGAAGTTATGCTGTCCGGGGAGCGCCTGACCTCTGGCTTTGGCTACTCACTGGCTGTGGCTGATTTTAACAATGATGGGTGAGTGGAAAGAGGGCAGTGGAGCCCCGGGGAGCTGAGTCCAGGAGGTCTGAGGGTCCTCTGGCATCTCCTCCTGACTCCCCTGCCTGGGGAGGATGCCACACTGACTGTCTTTTTGTCTCCATAGCTGGGCAGACCTGGTAGTGGGTGCTCCCTACTTCTTTGAGCGCCAAGAAGAGTTGGGGGGTGCTGTGTATGTGTACATGAACCAGGGGGGTCACTGGGCTGGCGTCTCCCCTCTCCGGCTCTGCGGC